GCAAAATGTCTCTGGATGCTGTCGCATACTTCAGATATTTGCCTGGCACTCACTTCTTCCAAACAGCGTTTCACAATCTCAGCAACTTTTAAGATGTGCGGACTTCAACTCCCAGAGTTCCCTGGCCTGCATGCCAAAATTCCCCAGCCAGCAGAATTCTGGGAATTGGAGGTCCACTCATCTCAAAGTTTCTAAGGGTGAGAAAGATTATCCTAGGGACCTAGATGTTTATGAGAACTCCAACGAGACCTCCGTGTGTAACTACTCCTAATACAAGTAGGTAACAGGAAAAGCTTCCATGCAGAGGAAAACAGCTTTTTAAAGGATGGCATAATTTGAAGGGCATGTTTTAAGGGCAAGACAGCTGTCAGATGGCATATTTTTGATTTGTAGATAGGATACTACAAATGTCAGGGAGCAGAATGCATCAGAAAGTCCTCCAATTAAAGTTACTCATTTCAATGACACTGATACCAAAAAAAAAAAACTTTACGGGAAAATTATTCATACGGTCTTGAGTGGCCATAGCATTGGTGGAACTAATCTTATTTATTATAATTTAGATTATGAACTAGCTTTGTGCAGTGGTTAAGGCATCAGGCTAGAAACCAGGACTATCCCCCCTTAGGCATGAAGCTGGCCTGTGTGACCTTGAGCCAGTCCCTCCCTCCTTAGGAAGTAGGCAAGGACAAACCACTTCCAAAAGACCTTGCCAAGAAAATTGCAGGGATTGGTTCATGCAGTTGCCAGGAGTCAACCCTATCTTGAAATATATATATATATATATTTGCCATTTTCTCCCAAACTCCCAAAACCTTGCCATAGTTTAATGATTGGCCTTTAGCAGATTGATCTAAAAATATGTGCCAATAAGAGCAAGGTGCTGCTATCATATTCTGGATGAAATCTCTTTAGTGAACAAATAAATAGATGAGCTGTTTTAAAGTATAGCAGTGTGTAATAATTGTTTTCCACAGTGTGCTGCTTGGGAATGATCATTCAAAGGCACTAGTTTCATAAAGGCTACTGCAAAGCATTTTTATTTTTGCTTCTTGGGAAAAAGAGATTTTCAGCATATCTAGATTATTTCCTTCATTAGAAAGAGTGGATTGGAATGGAGAAAGGGTAGAATTATACTGATAGGGAATGTTTGATTCCTGAAGGCTTCCATTTAGTTCTTTGAAGAATATAAGAGACTTAAGAAAGAAAGTAGATTGCAGTTGGGAATATATGTGTTGCTCTGTTAAATCTACGTCAGATTCTGTAGATTTATCTTCTGTTCCATAGGCAGAGAATTTTTTGCACCATCGCTTAAAATGGCAGCCATGCCATTTGATATCCAAGCAATGCTACTTTCCATACCTTTCAGTCCTTCTAGTCAAATATTCACAGAAAGGACAATGTGTTATTTAGGTAAAATTCACACATAGCTCTACATGCAGTATGGATACTGTAAAAAGCGGGTGTCAAACTTGCATCATCATGACAGCATCATGTGACAGTGACGTATTGGGACTTTCCCCCCTTTGGTAAACTGGGCGGGGGCGTGGCCAGCATGTGACACATCCGGCCCCATGGCCCATGAGTTTGATACCCCTGCCTTAAATCCAGACAAATGACTGTGTGCATTTGTCAGCAACAGAAGGGCGCTTTAAAATGGCGCCGCGGCAAAAAGCAATAGCAATAGCAATAGCAATAGCAGTAGACTTATATACCGCTTCATAGGCCTTTCAGGCCTCTCTAAGCGGTTTACAGAGAGTCAGCATATTGCCCCCAACAACCTGGGTCCACAACCAGATGTCTGCAAGGAGTATAAATCCTTACATTCCCTACCATCCAGTCAGAGCTGAAGAAGCTTCTTGGATGAGGGGCGAAATGTCTTCAAAGAAAAAAAGATCTGGAGACTCTAGAAAGAGTGCAGAGAAGAGCAACAAGGATGATTAAGGGACTGGAGGCTAAAACATATGAAGAACAGTTGCAGGAATTGGGTAGGTCTACTTTTGTTGAAAAGAAAAACTAGGGGATACATGATAGCA